AATTGTTGGCGACTGAATTTATTTTACAAATTACTATCACCCGTACTTCTGGTATTATCACATAGAATTATTTCGTAAAAAACTCAACAATTTATCACATCATACACAGAATAACCACTAGTCGTTAATCATCTCTGTGCTGCTTAATTTTCTGTGTTCCTCCCAAAGCACCAAAGCAAAAGATTACCAAATCAGCATCGGGTATTTCCCTCACGTGATCCTCTAAAACCTCCAAGAATGTCCGATTCAGTAACGCCATTTTCTCCAGAAACAATTTGCTGTATGTTGACGTAAAATCCGTGTTAATTTGATTGCCATCAACCATCTTCCTGAAAACTTAAACAATTTTGAACACACCTCATAAAATGAAAAATTGAATTTACGAATAATAAATCGAGTCCAAATTGATGATACTGATGAGTTTTTACAATAAATTCTTGGGTCGCTGATGAAAAAAAGGACCTCTGAGCAACCCTAACCCCTGGTAAGGCTTACAGTAACGTTCGCACCGGTGACTGTTACCGAACAAAAAATTAGTTCCGTCAAAACTTCTTCTAAACATCGTTGATTACCGCATAATCGAAAACTGTCAAAACCGGAACAGGTTAACACCACAGCACGGTTTTTTAGAAAAATGAACCGTTTTCAGCGGTTTGACAAAATTCAAAAAGCTGAGAAACGGCAAAGCTGATCGGTCAGTATGTGAATGAATCCGTCACACTTCGCCACAAGAATGCCTCAGAGCGCAGGGGTGGAGTCAGCGGAGAGCATGCGCAATGATAGGTCAGCGTATGATTAAGCGCTTAAATCATCAAGATTTTAGCAATGATATGTCAGAAAAAGACCGTTTTAGAGGATGATGCACTGCAGAATGATTGGGGAAATTACAATCATCTTATAAGAAATGAAATTCTCTATCATGTGAACTATTTTGTTTCAAAAGATGGGGTCTCAAAGTAGAAAACGTTAGGAAAAAATGAAAGTCACATTTATCTAGTACTACCCAATTTCAGGTTAAAGGAACGAGATTCGAGCAGAATGACTATACACATCATGTAGTTTGACCTTAACACTGCTAAAGTAATGTACATGTTGATCAATAGAGATATACTGTATCGAAATGAGCACCGCGGAGCTAGATGAGATGCCCTCGGAAAATAGCTGAGATGCCCTCGGAAAATTAGCAACTTGAGGATACAGGTATTCTGAAAATGGTAAACGTGATATTGGAACTGTACCATTGGTCATGCCTCAGAGATAGAATGTGCAGAGTTTGGTGGCATTGTAGAATGGTTCAAGTAACTTGACATTACCTGGATTACCTGGATTGGCCAGGCTATCAAACGTTTGTNNNNAATGAAATGTATCTAAAGGAAGAATGCAAAATCGCTGGACAACATACATATTTTTCTGAAATTAGAGAATCTCCAGGAACCCATTCTATTGGGTCTTCAAATTTCAGTTATTTTATTCAGGGAATAAGGATAATTTATTTTGTATGATTACAATTGAAATTGACCACAAGCAGGTTATTTTATCATTTTTAGTCTATGCTAGAGACAGCAGTGATGAATTGCGTGGTCATATCGTATTTGTAGTGAGTGATGCAACTTTCCAAATGACCAACGAACGATTTCAGTCTGCTGTGAAAGCCTTTTATTTTTAAACAATTTTTTTCTGTAGAATTGTTTAGAATTACTTTCTTTAGAACCATCAAATTTAGAAGTTTTCTATAACTACTGTGTTGTTATATTCCAGTGAAGTGTGCTGCAAATTTTTCCAGAAATGCGGTCGTCTATATCTCAGAATCTTCCATGGTATTTATAAATATATCGTTGCTTCGAAAAACTACTACTATTATTATTACACTAAGACATAATGTTTCATGAAATTATCCATTTGTTGATCGTTGTGTAATATAAAGAATTGTTTGCAATGTTTCGTCGAATGAATATTATGTTCCATCAGATTACACTTAATGTTTTACTGCAATTCATGAACATTCTGAGATGTTCAGCTCATCAAACGCGATTCTGACATCAAACGGCCAATGTGAATGGGGCCTATGACCATTTGTTTAATGACAGGTGCCATTGCAACAATTTGCGCGTGCCTCATCATTGAGTAGCATGACGATTTTTGTCCATGTCAGACTTGTCATAGCTGCGTTTGTCAGTCACCCGTATGAAAATGTCAAAAACGCAGCAACGCTGTAAAGGCATGTGGAAGTGTTGCTAAAAAATCGCTTGACCGAAAAGTATCGAGAGCAAGCGGCTAAACTGATGAACTGACGAAAAATAACTCATTGTCAGCTTTGAAGTTCTCGAAAGGATAAGAGGAAAATTGTCGCCAGTAAGTGATAGAAGTGAGGATTTGTCGACGGACTGCAATCGGTAAAACGTTTCGCTGAAAAGCTATATAAAATTTAACCCCTCGATACGAGGTGAGCCTGAATCAATTGACAATTTATCAAATTTTGAATGATTGACGTACCGCTGTTAGAATGGAATATAATGACATGAATGTGCAATCGCGAATTGGGCGTACCTCTTCAGGCATTCAGTCGAATCAGTCATTTACGTTTCAATTTTGATCATTTGTAAATTTAAAAGCAAGCATTAAAACAAAGCAAAGAACTCGAACTATCACAATTGTTCAAGTTTAAAATTCAAATTTCATCCCCTATGATCTTATACAGATCAGCAGTGTACAAACGAAAATAAAAACGAAAACTCAAAGTAACCTTCCAAGATTTCTAGGGAATATTTTGACTAAATTGCACATTCAAGATAATGTTTGCGGTATCACCAGTCGAAGAGCATTACAAGAAATCAAAATGATCAGTTGTGAGCTTATTAATTTGGAAACATCTTCGTAATGAAGCACCAAATCATTCCACTTAAAATTAAATAAATCCCGATTTGGGCCAAGATATGTACAAGAACATTCTTCTGCTTGTAATGAAAGCATTTTCGTGATTTTAACTCGACAAAGATTTTCTTTCATAGCTTATTTTCTAATTAGAAATCTGCGGTTGCGAATTTCACATAAATTCTCAGTTATGATTTCATAATTACCATAAGTATCTCATGGCTACTACTGCAATTCACAAGTCACCTGATCATTCAACAGTGAATCGTCCGTCATGTTTCACACTGTAAAATGGTGCCTCTGAGCTCACTTCTCAGAGCTCATCACCAAACATTAGATGTATGAGTTACATGTGGATGGAGTGCATGGTTCAACGAGTTTATCTTAGGTCCGATGCAATGCTTCTTCGAACTTTTTGATAATCACAGCCTAATTTCTATCAAACCTGCAATGGATACACACAAGCAATGAAGTTCTTTTTTAAAAATAATTTCCCGTAGTCCATGAACGACGCCTTTTAGACATCAGCCGAACCATAAAATCATGAAACGCTCCGAAAGGATGAATCCACTTAATCTTTATTTAATGTCNAGTTCTTTTCTAAAAATAATTTCCCGTAGTCCATGACCGACCCCTTTTAGACATCAGCCGAACCATAAAATCATGAAACGCTCCGAAAGGATGAATCCACTTAATCTTTATTTAATGTCCAAATTTATTCTCTCATCACGCTCTCAACGAAGTAATGTTTTATTTGAGAATCTATCAATCGTATTATTCGTATCCCTTTACCCATTTAACAACGCCGAGTTCAGTGATTTCCCTTGCACCGTTGATTCCGTTCTTTTTTGATTTCCATGAGATTTATTCGTTTCCAGTCTCGATCTTTGGACTTTAGTCTGCTCTCGAATTGTCGAGAGTGATCGAGCTAATAAAATTTCTGGGTGGTGTGTATCTTCTAGTGGGTTTGGCGAATAGAGTATGGATGATGACTGCAACGTACGTAAGCCATTCCAAAATGCGATCGATTGCCTACCGTGTTGCTCTTCGGTTTTCGGTCGAATTTCAATAGCTCAATGCGTGATCGAAGAATATTGCTTTTAGAGGGACCAACCTATGTATATGAGTGTTCTGAAGCAATGCGTTCTCGATACCTCATTTCTTATATACGCTAAGGTGGTTGTATGTCTTTCGCTGGAGTGTCGCGAGTAAATTATTGAATCTTTAANATGGTATTTCAATCGATGATATTTACGTGTGAAATGAGTTTTTTCCGCCTTCTTTGAACTTCATCATGTACTGTCGTTATTGCCACTACATGGGTGTCGTAGGGCACTTGTGATGAAACCTAACAAATCAAATACTATTGTTTTCATTTCTCTCATTGTCAGTAACTGCTGAAATTATTCCCAATAAATTTCTTGATTGATTTTTTCGCGTTCAATGTGGTTTCAGTATCAGTTTTCATATTTCTCTCACTAGACATTTGCAATCAATTCTTTTGCCAACCCAATGAAACGACTCGTGTGAAGCATTCATGTAGGCATGGTAGTTGTGGATCTTCTGACCATGAGTGAAGCTCATCATTCAAGCAGAAAAAGAACCGTGAATCTAATTCAGAATGCCAACAGAAGAGCAGACATTGGCCATTATACAGGACGAACACGCCATGTATGGGCCATTTTTTGGTTCCTTGGGTGTTTCGGCTGCGATGATGTTTACGGCAGCCGGTTCAGCGTATGGTACGTGTAAATCGGGCACCGGGATCTCATCAATGGCCGTTTCGAGACCGGATCTTGTCATGAAGGCCATTATTCCTGTTGTTATGGCTGGTGAGATAATCGATTCAACTCAAATACTTTCATCCTATTGCAGCGTCACGGAAACATTGTTACGGTGGCCATACAAAAATGATTATTTTTGTCGTGAACATGAATTTGATATGATACTTCGTATCAAATTACTTCATTTGTTGCAATATGAATTCAGAAATTATTGTTTTATTTCCCTTCATGCACCCGAAAGATTATTTGTAAATCATTTTGTTGTCGATGTTCTAAACTAAACTCAGAAATCTTGAACAACACGATTCAGCCGTTCCATCGTATCAACATTTAAAAGGAAGAATTCAGCGAACTCATTAAAAATTTTCATCCAAATTCATTGAATCCACAAAAAATACAGCATCAAGTCAAGCTTCGTGTTACTATCTCACATCAAATTATACCTTGGTGATGCCGAACACACAAATGTTAATGGAACGAAATCATAGATCAGTTATTGCCTGCACGCAGTAATTGATCAGATCAATAACTAAGACTAGTAACTCACTTGATCAGATCAATAACTTAGCCTTGAATTCACATGTATAAATTTTGTCCTCATCAGAGACCTAAAAGCACTTTCGCCAAGCGAATGATCGACTGCTGTTGGTCAGTAAACTGATTTTTGATGTGAATTACAGGTATCGTAGCTATATATGGTTTGGTAGTGGCCGTAATCATATCAGGTAAACTAGGACCTGGTGGTGAGTCATACACGATCAATATGGGATTTAGCCAGTTTGCTGGTGGTTTAGTTTGTGGTTGGTGTGGATTGGGTGCTGGTTATGCGATCGGCATAGCCGGAGATGCTGGTGTTCGGGCATTATCACAGCAGCCACGTTTCTTTGTCGGAATGATCCTTATTCTTATCTTCGCTGAAGTTCTTGGCTTATATGGCATGATTGTTGCTCTGATTATGGGAGCAACATAAAACTATCTCATTGGAATATCGCTATTTATTTTTTGACTAGATCTTATTTTTAACGATCTTTTTCCAATTCTCATTTTATTTTTTTTCAAAAATAGAATTCAATTAATCCTGAACGAATGAAGGTAGTTACCAAGAGTGGAGTCTAGTCATACACAGATGACTAACACGTGTAGGAGATTTGTTTTTAATTTCAAACGCTTTCGATGGAATTCATTTTGAGCGAAGCAGCGGCTTAAGTTATTCTTAGATTTGAGAATCTATAATTGCATGTTGAAGTTGTTAAGATTGTTATGTTTACGTTTCTGATTTGCATTTGCATTCCATCTTATCATGAGCTGTTAGTTATATACCAAATTGTTGATTTCAATGCAGTCAGTCATGAGTCATCAAGGCTGTGCAAATGAATGTTTGAGAATTTTTTATTGGGTGATGCAATTGCGGGAAGATGGTAAGCTTGAGCATGTAGTTATAAGATAAACGATTTTATTTATGTAAATTATTATTGTTATTAATACTCGCTGTTCGGTGTTGTGATGTAAATTTTATCTTGCTATATTTTACTTCGTTTTTTTGTGATATTGAAAAAGAGAAAGAAGATATCATTATTAAAAGCTTGTACATTCCATTCGAATATTTTTGTCGAAAATCCGTCATAAGGACGGTCATTCGTTTAGCGAATTTACCTTTTGTTTTTTCGAATGTGTTGTTTCAGGAGGCTTTTTGTTTTTGATCAGCCCAATATGATTATTGTAAGGTTGAATCAAATTTTTGCCGCTCTCACATATTCACGTTTAATTCAATTCTTTTGTTCTGTATTGTTTTTGAAGTTCAAAGGTCATTGCTCTCGATTGAGAATTCTCGCAAAATATCACTGTTGTTAGCGTCTAAAAGGCCCTACCGAAATTCGTCAGATGCAGTTATTAAAATGAATTGTTTAAGATTGAAACGGTTGCGTGTGTAAAGCTTTTCTAATTTTGTGACTGATAAAAGAAAGCGAATCGATCAATCGAAAATGTCGTACGACTTGCAAACAGCAGAACACGCTGCCTACGCACCATTCTTCGGTTATATGGGTGCCGCATCGGCCCAAATTTTCACCGTACTTGGTGCGGCATACGGCACAGCCAAATCAGCAGTCGGCATCTCGAGTATGGGTGTGATGCGTCCTGAGCTTATCATGAAGTCTGTCATTCCCGTCATTATGGCTGGTATCATCGGTATCTACGGCCTTGTCGTAAGTTCTACATCTGCTCTCAGTCTCAGCATTTAAGTTCAGAGTTAACAGAATTCCTACATGAACCTCGTGTCATTTGTTGTAAAAGTTTTGCGTGTTTCTAGTATTTGAACCCAGTTTGTATCACAGTAATGAACGCATGCAAATATTTGTCCTAAATGAATATCTAATGGTAACGATGAAGAAATCATCAAAAGAGGCATGGTACAATTGCAGGTAGCAATGGTATTGAAAGGAAAGGTATCGGCAGCTTCAGCCGGCTACACACTCGATAAAGGCTTCGCACATTTGGCAGCCGGTCTGACTTGCGGTCTTTGTGGACTAGGTGCTGGGTATGCAATTGGTATTGTTGGTGATGCGGGTGTGCGAGGTACCGCTCAGCAGCCACGTCTTTTCGTCGGAATGATCCTGATTCTTATTTTCTCTGAGGTTCGAATTCACCTCTTCAATTCGTCCATCTCATGTCGTCGTGGAATCCATGATCGATTCCGTAAGATACTGAAAAATGGATGAACATCCTCATGACTCAATTCAGTTGTGTTGTTTTAAAGAAGAAAAGAAGGTGCTCTGTGTGAAAGGAACGCATTCGCAAGGGTCTTTACTCGTAGTGTGTTCATGGAGGTGCTTCAAAAAATTGTGTTCGGAGCATCTCTCAACTTTTCTTATCAATTAACATTATTTGATTCAGCAGAACACGATAGCTGAAGATTGATATTTACAGGTATTGGGTCTATACGGTATGATCGTAGCCCTTATTTTGGGTACCTCATAAACTGGAATCGATTAATCATCAACGGTCAGTCAGTCGTCAACAACATCAACAACACCATGGCGCATACCATTCCACTTTATATATTATTATCATTATCAAGCTAAATATTTTTCCGTCTTTTCGCGAAATCCTTTTATCGTTTTGTTTTGATAATTTCATTCGTTTTGTGTTCTTTCTCTCAGCTATTCGTTTGTTCGTTTTGACTTTAAAAACAACTGCATTGTGGTTAATGTTTTGATATTGTTGTAAAAATACACAAACTTCTTTCACTGCTTTCATTTTCATTATTCATATCTGAAGTTTACGATTATGAAGGAGTTAATTTCTAGTTGTTGTTGAAGAAGAAACAATTGTGATATAGAATCGATTCTCCATCGGATGTTTATACGATGCCAATCATTTACGTATACGTACATATTTTTGATTTTCTTTTCCTCTGTAACCTACACGAACAGCTGTATCAATCATTGGTCATGCCAGCTACCTGTTTCGTTCGATGATTTATTGAACGAAAGCGATGTAAATCTTGAAAATTTCAAGTATCTTGCATTTGAACATATACCTGAAACCTTTGATTTGTGCCAACATTTCAACTTTGTTTGTTTTTTGAAGTTGATTATTTGTTACCATTCCAAAGTGTTTTGGTTCTTCTAAATGGACTGAGTGCCATGAATGATAATGATAGTACCCGCTAAACTGATGATAAAATGATTAGTGTTCTGAGCTGTTCATGTACTTTCGAACAAAAAAAAAACGTACGTTTTTCTTATTTCACTTCACACTTTCATTCATTCAATTTTTGTTTTAATTCAAATGAATGATATATATAATATTATGTGCGTGATCACAACTGTAATACTTTCGAGTATGTATGTTTGTTGTGTTGTGTTATGTTGTAATGCTATCGTCATCGTCGTCATAAGTCCATTGCCCAAGCAACTTTATCGTCCACACCGTTATCAGCGAACGATCAGCCGCTTTTTGTGATTGATTAGTTGATACACTGCCCAGCATTCGTTATCAATGGAACACGTCGCTCGTCATTCTCGCATTAAGGAGAAAAGAAACAATAAAGATGCTTAACTTTAAAACATCATGTATCAACTGAATATGACAATGCTATAGGTTTGATATTTTCACTTTGAATTCACAGCTAGCACTAGGAAATGGAATGAATTAATAGGAACACATCAATTAATCCATAGTTTAGGACTGAGTGTGTTTGTGTTCAACGAATGTACGTTGTTCACAGTGGCTCGCTTCTGTTATTCATTCGTCATGTTGTGAAAGGTTATTCTGAAGTTTTAATTTGCTACTCATTTAAATGATTTGTTTAGAAAATTATATTATTATAATTCAGTTAACCAGTGTTCCATGTTTAACTTATTATTTTTCCTGAATAAAATATTTTATTAGGTTCTGATGGTTTGATTGTTTGAAGGTATGAAAGATCATTTTTTTAGTGTGCATTCTTGAAAGAGTGAATGGCAGGAATGTTGCACTGTTATAAAAGTGTGTATGTGTCTATGAGGGGTATTCGCTGTCTAACGAGAACAGTTTTAGAATGAAAACGGACGTTTATTGATTATGATACTGAACACATTCAGCCTATCATAAATTTAGCTGTGGTACACAGCGCAGTTGTAGATAGGGAACGAACGTTTCAGGCGATTTAAAAGCAAATTGATTTCGTTTGTGGTTTGTTTCGTTTGTTAGTTTGCTGGCAAAGAGGGACGTGCACACACACGCACAAACCAAATTTCATGCTTGATTTGATAGCTTTCAATTTTTCCGTACAACTCTTTTGAATTTTCAACAAATGGTTTCAAATCAAACATATGCGAACATAACAATAAAATACATTGATTTTCTCATATCCGAGCACTCTCTTGTCCGAATGAAAATAAAACCAAAATGTTTTCGAAATATAAATTTCGATGATTTCTCTGTTATTTATTCGATCAAGCCAGCGCAAAACGTGCTCGATGGACCAATCTTCAACAAAATTATTGCCACAAATAAAAGAAAACTTGTCAGGAGAGAGTTTGCGGCAAAAAGCTGTTTTAACAATGAATAGTTGCTGTGCTCATCTTGAAGCGAGTGAACATACAACTGAAGATGAAAGTAAAAAGCAATTTTTATTCCACCAGATTTTACGAACTGCTTCAACATAACCATTTCATTGTCATAGCTCAACGGGAGCAATGTTATCAAGAATATTTGCATGAGTCAATAATGCTATCTGATGACGAAGACAATTCGATTCAACGATTTTTGAGGCACGTAAACCTCATGATGTTCATTCAGTGGACTGCTAGCTACTTTGCATATTAGTGCTTTACGTAATGGATGAAGTAATGATCTTGCGAATGTCTGAAATTGAAGAACAAAACAAATGTGTCGCAAAAATATGCTCTGTGTTCATTGATACGAAGGGTTCGTTCTAGTGAATGAAAGCAATGTGGAAGGGTGAATCGGTTGAGATGCACAAATGGCTAAGCACTAACAAGGGGATGACAACGGATTTCCCAATGCAATGGTGCTGAACGATCGTGCTGGAGTGTGAAGGGATGAATCAGATGAAGAAAACAAAACACGGTTTAGTAATTGGCCATCGACCGACATCAGATGAGGCTGGTCGATGGGTGATTATTAAGAAGTATCTCAGCGGCCACAGATCAATGACCAAAAAAACCCTCAGTGATTAGGCCACCCGGTGGTTACAGAGTCACACGTCCACTGGTGGTCACAAACCAAGAAGTATGTTTTGCCATTGTTGGTTCTGGAACAGCTACCTCACGACCTATCCTCTGACAAATGCCCCGAACAAGTAATTGCCCCCGATAAATTACTTCGAACTAATTGTAAGAGAGAATTCCTCTTCACGGCTAACAGCAACCTTACCTGAAATTCAGCCACGGCCTTGAGATGAGCCTCATCTTAAGCCTAATTGTAAGCATCAACCTCAGTCTCGGCATAAGTGGATGAATACATATTATAATTATAATAAGAATATAATATGACAAAAATGTTAGCAATAATGATTATAACAGCACTGGTAGTAATAATGATTGAATAAGTAAATATTATGGATCTATTCGGTTGCATTAATCGTTTATTGTTGATGCAGTAAGATTACTGGATTACTGTTGTTGGTTGTTTCAAACAGCGACCCTGAGCGATCGTTGGGCGCATGTTCAGTCGATCAAACGGAACACATTTTCGTGCTCTTTCTGAGTCCCTCCTCCTAGAAATTATTGAGCAATATGAGAGAGTAGCCCAATGTGCTAGCCAGATCAATAATCTGAATTTCATGAAGACAGATGATTCGCAGCGCTATTATCGTTAACTGCACGGAAAGAAGGACATCTAGGAAAGAAGAATGTGGTATTGGTGATATTGATGATAATAGGAAGCATAAACTCGTAATGAGTTGGATTTGCTGATTAAATAAATAAAAAAGGCAT